CTGCCCCTGCCCCTGCCCCTGCCCCTGCCCCTGCCCCTGCCCCTGCCCCTGCCCCTGCCCCTGCTTCTGCTTCTGCTTCTGCTTCTGCTTCTGCATCTGCATCTGTATCTGCTTCTGCTTTTTCCTATTCCTATTCTTCCTCTATACCTCTAGGTCTACAAATACTAATACCACGGGTAAGGGGAAGAGGCAGGGGCAGGAGCAGGAGCAGGAGCAGGGGCAGGGGCAGGGGCAGGGGCAGGGGCAGGGGCAGGGGCAGGGGCAGGGGCAGGGGCAGGAGCAGGAGCAGGAGCAGGAGCAGGAGCAGGGGCAGCGGGGCAAGGGCAGGAGAAGGGAGCGAGGAGGGGCAGGGGCAGGGGCAGGGGCAAGAGCAGGAGCGGGAAAGAATTCCGGGTTAGATTCGTGAGTGATAAGGAGGAAACGAACGATCGGGCTGTGGTCTCTGACGGTGTTTCGAACAGTGAAAGCGGCAAAGGAGGAAACAAAGAAAGAGGAGGAGTCAGAGGAAGTGTCAAAGATACAAGGGCGAATACGTTCTGCTGCTGTGAGAGAGGGGATGAAGAGCAGCTGAAGGAGAGTATCAGTTCTCTGCCACATGTCTTCCAACATGTTCAGAACAAGAATCCCGCTTCTCTCCCTCCTCCTCCTCGCAGGGAGCGAAGGGTTCCAGGTATCTTTCTCCATGTCGCCCGCAACCTCCAAGTTGCCCTCCTCCTTTGTCACTCCCCTCCTGCCGCCCCTGCATGACAGGTGGAGGAGCGAGAGGAGAGGCGGGGAGAGGGCAGGATCGTTGCGCATGCAGCAAGACGACAGCAAGGTCAGGAGGATGCGGCTGCTCCGCATCGCAGAGCTGAGGAGGGAGATCGCGCTGGACGCCAAGCAGAAGGCGCAGCAGCTGAGGGAGAAGTTCAAGGCAAGATACGCGAGACTGACAGGAGGTTGAGACTTTTCCCTCCTCCTCCTCCTCCCTCTTGCCTCGCTCCTGCCCTCCTGCCCTCCCTAATCACTCACTCCGACCCCCCGCTTTCCTCCCACTTCTCTCTTCTTGGCCCTTCTCACTCCCTATCCCCTATCCTCTCCTCCTCTGCCTTCCTCTGTCTTATCCAGCCCTCCCTCTCCTCCTCCCCTCTTGCTCTCTCCTCGTTCCCATGAGTTCTCTGCCTCCTTTCCTCTCTCCTCCTCCTCTAAGACTCGTATTGCCTTCAAGGGAGGCTTAATGTCACCTCAACCGGCACTTCTCCTACTGCCTCCTCTACAAGCCTCTCCACGGACCCTTCAGCAGAGAGCAGTATCATCCCCCCTTTTGCCCTCCTCCTCCTCCCCCTCGTCAACTAGTTCACTTCTCCTGGTCCACCTCCCTCCTCTACTTGCGCCGGCTCCTCGCCTCCTCTGACTTGTCTTCCAGTATCTCTCTGAATCTGTCGGCCTGCTCGGATCCACTCCCTCCTTCCGATTCACCGAGATCTTCGAGGCCAGCGAGCCCTCGACATCGATCTGAAAGGCGAAGGGAGGAGGACGAGGACGAGGACGAGGACGAGGACGAGGACGAGGACGATGATGAGGACGACGCGGGGGAAGGAGGAGGAGGAGGTGGAGGAGGAGGAGGAGGAGGAGGAGGATTGGGGGGGAGGGAGGAAAGGGGAGGGGAGGGGGATGAAGTTTTGAGGTGTAAAATCGCGACTGAACCATTGAGGGTGTGTGGACGCTTACGGGATGAGATGGGAAGGTGAGTGCAAGAAAAATGAACAAGGAGGAGGCGGAGAGAAAAGGAGACGGAAGCGATGAAACACAACCCAGGGCAGCAAGAGGGACACCTGAGGTAGAAGTTCTCGTGTTGGGGAGGAATGGGCAGGAGGAAATAGAGAGGCGGCAAGTGGTGGGCCAGGAGGCAGGAGGAGCAAGGTTGCAGCCCGAGGGCAGCTACTTCATTCGTTTCACATCCACTGCTTGAAGAACTCCAGCGAGTCCTTCCTGTTGGCCTTGATAGTCTTATCTCCCTTCTTCCAGTTCGCCGGGCAGCCCTGGCCCTTGTTGGCGGCCGCGTGCTGGGCAGCCTGAAGTAGCCTCATGACCTCGTCGATGTTGCGCCCTACCGGCTCGTCGTTGATGGAAAAGGAGCGGACAACACCCTCGGGGTCGATGATGTAAGTTCCCCTCATGGTTACTCCAAAGTGCTCGTCCGCCTCATCCTCCACCAGCACGCCGTAGGAGGAGGAGATCCGCTTCGTGATGTCAGAGAGGAGGGGGAAGTCGATGGCGCCGAGCCCTCCGTCCTTCCTGTCTGTGCGAGTCCATGCGAGGTGAGTGTGGGGGGAGTCGACGGAGACACCGACGACCTGCGGAGGGAAAGTAAGGAGGAGAGAGGGAGCGAAGAGGCGCGAGGGACAGTAGAAGAGAGAGGAGCGAGCAAGAGGAAGACCCTAGAACAGGTAGAAAGTGGGGGGAGGAGGGAGAGGAAGATAGCGAAAGGGGGCATATGTAAAAGGAGGGAGAGAGGGAGGAAAGGATAGTTGCAGTTCGACACACAAGGGAGGTGGAGGAAGGTGGGAGAGGAGGGAGTGGGAGGAGGCAGAGGAGGAGTGGGGGGCGTGGGGCGGGAGGACGAGAGGAGAGGGACTAGAAATAGTTTCACCTCGGCTCCCAGCTTCTTGAACTCAGCGTACTTGTTGTTGAACTCAACGATCTCAGTCGGGCAAACAAACGTGAAGTCGAGGGGATAGAAGAACAGGACCAGCCACTTGCCCTGCCGCGGCGAAGTCACGATGCCATGCCTACCTCCGCAGCCTCCAGCGCCCTACCTTGTAGTCCGAGGAGGCGAGGTCGACAATCTCTCCGTTCTTGACAGCCTTTCCCTTCCATGCAGGAGCTTGCTTCCTAACCTTGGAATAAGTCAGCGCTGATCCCGCCCATCGAGGTGGCATACCGGAACGCTGGCTTCAGCAATCACCGAGATCGCGCAGAGTGCAGCGAGAGCAGTAAGAAACTTCATCCTGAAAGAGATACAATGAGACAATGTGTGCAAGCTAGAGACGAGGGCAGTGATGTTGGCATCTTCATTGGACTGTATCCTTGCAAATCGTCCAGCTTTCCACTGCTCGCGTGTTCCTTTGAGCAATTCTAATCTCTTACCCTTGACGGAATTCATACCTCTTCTTCTTCTTGGAGTTTTCTCAAAGTTCCGCTCTCTCCCTCCCCTCGTACACTATCCTGGTCCCCTTCTCCCGTCTCCTCCCATTGTTTCCAACCACTCCTCATATTCTCTTCTCCCAATGTCTCTCTCTCTCTCTCCTCGTCTATCCTTCCCCATGTTCTCTCTCTCGTCCTTCGTCCTCTCCCTCCTGATCTCCTCTCCACTCATCCTCCCGCCTCTCCGCCTCTTCTCCCCGTTGTCCATTCGATCGCCGATCTCGAACATTCCACCATTCCCAAACTATGCCACCACAGTGAGTACTACCCCTGCCCGCAGAGGATCATCCTGTACCCCTCCATTTCTCTCATAGTACCCCTTCATTTACCACTTTCTCCCTCCACCCTACCCGTGGCAGACTACTCGTAACATCCCCACCCTAGGATTTCCATTCAACTACCCCTCATGTACTCAGGGCAAACAGGGAAATTTGAGCACTATTACAAGTATTAGTCTTGATTTCTGCCCTACAATATTTCTCTCTAAACCTCTGAGGCTGGCATGAATTATCACCGGTGGTTTTGATATGTAGATGAGGGGTGGGGATAGATAGGTCGCTAGGTGGATGTTAATACCAGGCCGGGTGGGTGGCCTAATTCGAGGAGGTAGGGTACGTTTGACCAGGGGTATAAAAATAGGGAAGATTTAGGAAACTTGGAGGTAGGGTACATAATTGAAAGGGTGGGTGAATTTACCTCGTCAGTAAAGGGGTAGTGAATTTCTGCTGGAGGGTAGCATACTGTGGTGGGCAGAAGCCAATGTGTCGGGATGAAGGGGTAGGGTAATGAAATTTGGGGTCTACAAATAACAAGGGGGTAATTGACTATTAAAAGTGTGGGTACTTCAATGATAAAATGTGGGTGGTGGATCAAATTCAATGAATTGATAAGGTGGGGTACTGATTGAATGTTGTTCAATCGATGTTGGGTACATTGTTGAGGGGTGGGTCCTCCCGAAAGTTGAGTAAAGGATCAGGAGGAACACAAAGGGTTGGGTACATCACATTGCAGGGTGGGGGTATCACAAGTACCCCTTATTTATATGTCTCTTTCTCAATATATTTCACTCACAGGGTGAGAATAAGTGGGTGGGTACTGATGGGGGTGGTTTTTGAAGGGGGTAGGGGTGTACCAAGGGTGACGCGGACTAGCGGGTGGGGAACATGGCGGGGGAGGGGCAGACAGCGATGGTGGTGACGCTATGCCTGCTGGTAACAGTGTGGATGAGCGTTCATGTTCTCAGTACCGATATGACACAAAGCAACGTCATTCTGAACGCAGATCATGTCAAGAAGTTCAGATCTGTAATCCAAGACCTCTCGTACGTTTCGGCTGTGGGTTGGAACCATACTCAGGAATTGATCAGGGAGTATCATGTGGATGATGTTGTACAAAGAGGGGTTGAGACTTCTCAGGTCCTCATGAAAGAGTACCATGTTGACGATGTGCTCAACAACATCTCTGAGGTTGTAAATCAAGGCCTGAAGCACACCGACAAATTCATCCGAGACAACCATGTGGATGATGCGGTGGCGAACATGTCAGAGACTGTGAAGCAGTACACGATTGAGGGGATCAAACATACCGACAAATTCATCAGAGATAACCATGTGGACGATGCGGTGGCGAACATCTCAGAGACTGTCAAGCAGTACACGATTGAGGGGATCAAAAGGACACATAAGTTTGTCAAGGACAACAAGGTGGATGAAGCGGTGGCCAACCTTGAAAAGGACGTTGCCAAGTACTCGGTAGAAGGGTGGAACAAAACCAAGAGACTCATGGAGGAATACCAAGTCCCGCAACTTGTTTCCAACCTCTCCGACTCCGTGGCAAAGTACTCAGAGCAGGGATGGAGAAATACTCAAACGCTGGCGAGGGAGTGGCATGTGCCTGAACTTGTAGGTAATATCACTGATACAGTCGGCCGCCTGTCGAACGAAGGCTGGAAGAAGACACAGTCAATCATTAACGATCTTCAATCTGCTCCTCCACCTCCACCTCCCGCCAAGCGATGATTCAAAGTTGTCATCACACTGACTCTTCGTGATGATGGTTGGTTCGATCTGCCTCGTTTGATGTGCCATGGGGAAAGGGCAAGCGCCTGCTGTGTTTTGGTTAGAACCGGTTTGTTTGCTACACTTTCAATGTATTCATTTTTTCCGTTTCAACCCGATTTTTGGTCAACCGATACAACACTGAATTGACAGGATACAAGTTTCTCTCAACTGATCTATTGAGCATCGCTCCTTTCTCACGTTCAAACCGGCTCTGTTGTGATAAATGCTCTGCTCCTACTCTTGCCTTAGGGTGAACTGAAAGAACAGAGCAACTGCCGAACTGAGCAAGAGATGAAGTAAGCACGGGCCCCGATCCTGATTCATATAGCTGAGTAACCACAGGGACAACTCTTCCGAGTAGAGTCATTGGTTGACATGTTGCCCAAGTCAACTGAGGCCTCCGTCAGTGCCGTGTGTCCGACGGTCATCAGTGCACCGGCGGCCCGATGCCTTCCGACAATCCGATCATCAAGTTTGACTCGGCCAACGAACTTCAAAGCAGTCTACTCACACAGCATCCGTCCGAAGTTTCGGGCTCCGTGCGGGGCCCGACTGGTCGGATAATCATCAGCACGGTGATCGGAGGCGGCGCCTCCAAGCCCCGTGCGGCACGGCAGCGGTCCTACCCCGAATTAAAAATCAGTACGAGGACAATCAGAAGGCTTCAGTGGAGCCCGAGGCTTGACCCTGACCGTGGCAGTGACGGTCGCAAAGACCATACTGATCACATATGGCGAGAAGAGAGAAGAGAAAAAGACAACTAACCCTCATCATGGCATCCTGTACTAGCCTAACAGATCGCCCGGCCCCGCCGACTTACGACCTCGCCTGGCCTCGGCCCCACCCCCGCAGGCTACCCGGATTGTACCATGAAGGAACCGTCACTAGTAAGCTCAGCCTGCGGCTCAGCGGCTTGTGCTCCATGTCGGATGGCGCTCCTCAGTGTCTATGAACCTCGGCACCGTCGGTCACTAGGTAGCCTACACAGGGTAACGTCCGCCCCCTACAGCATGTCCGGGCCGATTCCCTACGGCCATGAATAGAACGTGACTTCTTGTCTTCACCATGTACTGGAGAGACGGTCGGTCACTACTCAACAGCCGTGCTACACTTAAGATGCTGCTACAAGTTCAAGAGCATTGAAGAAGCGAGCAGGGAATACGCTGCTTGCCTGGCGTACGTTTCACAGCAAGCCAACAAGCTTCGCACAGTCGTCATGATCAATCCGTGTAATGATAACTCAAATCTATTGGTACAGCTATCCTACCCTCGCCACCTCTCTCCGCGACCGCGTTACCACTTGCAGTCTAGTGAAACTCTTGTTCGCTTCTTACTCACCATGTAGCTGTCAGTACAGACCCTCAGTGCGTTGATGCAGCGATGGCAGGGCCTTCCATCTTCGCACTTCTGCTTCTTCTGCCTGCAGGATACGCATGCTTGCTTGGTATGTCTCTGGTTCAACCGCTTGTCAGCTTTGCGAGCACCTGCGGGTCCCTGGACTGCTGTGACGAGCGCAGGCAACCTGACTTCCCCTTCTATCTCGGCCTCGGATGCCGGCGAGGACGAAGCATGATCTGGATCCTCTGTGAGGTCTGCTAGCTCCAAGAAGGATCGGAGGCTCTCGGGCCGAATGACAATATGGGAGATGGCGTCGTCGAGCGAGGATCCCGAAAGTGGGGCAGGTACCAGCGTACAGCCTTCTGCTTCGGGAGAGTAGGGGGGGGGAGAGGAGCAGGAAAGGCAGGAGAGGAACTCAGGCGGTAAGGGAGGTTGCTGCATGGCGGCTGCCGCGGTTCCCTGCATGCTGTTCGACGGAAATCCTGTGGTAAAAGGGTGCTTGTCCGAAGGTCACGTGACCCGAATAGTAAAAGAGTTAAAACTAGTTTTAATATGGTAAAACTGATTTTACGGTTGACCTGTGAAAAAAGAAAGTTTCCGGATTCCACTCGAATGGCTTCCTTGGCACTCCCGTGGTACTCGTGTGCAGTACCAGTAGGGTGAGAGTACCACGACTTACGAAGGTTTACTACAGAGCCAGACTTGTTGACAGTCACATCACACAATGCTACCGTACAGACTACTTGAGTACTTCGGTGCTAGCAGTAGGATACAGTTGGTAGGCGATGCTAGGACCCGGTATCATACGGTAATGGCGGCGACGGTACTCCATGCCACCGCTGTCAGCCTCTCCACGTGTCACAACTACCCGTACCCCCCACCCCCCCCCCCCCCCCCTCCTCCCCCTCCCCCCGGCGGGGACCGTCGCACAGTGACCCCCACCGTAACTTTGAGTAAAGTGTCCGGTACCAGTGACTACGGTACTACGGCCTGTGACTCAGCCTGACACAAACTTGAATGGCAAGCATGAATGAAGGAGAGTCACTGAGTGGAGCTGAAGAACTTCGGAGGAAGAAACAAGCCTTGAAGGCCCGGGCCAGCCTGAGGGAGGAAAGGAAAGACGCCAAAGACGCCTGAGTTATATCAACCGCGGCCGCCCCGTCCAGGAGTCTGGCAATGATTGAAAGATCCGGCGCCCAGCCCCGCCGACTTACGACGCGGGGCTAGCCTCCGATTGTACCATGAAGGGACCGTCACTAGTAAGCTCAGCCTGCGGCTCAGCGGCTTGTGCCCCATGTCGGATGGCGCTCCAAGTGTCCGACAGGCTGAGAGCCTCGGCACCGTCAGCCACTAGGTAGCCTACACAGGGTAACGTCCGCCCCCTACAGCATGTCCGGGCCGATTCCCTACGGCCATGAATAGAACGTGACTTCTTGTCTTCACCATGTACTGGAGAGACGGTCGGTCACTACTCAACAGCCGTGCTACACTTAAGATGCTGCTACAAGTTCATGAGTTGTATACACATCACAGAGATCATCGGATTGTCAACGACACGCCGAGTAAAGTAAGCCTGGATGAAGAAGATAGACAAGCAGAAGATAGACGTCTCTAAGTTTACTGGGAGGTAAACTACGCACAATCACCACACTCACTGTGCATGCAAGTGGGGAAATCAGAAGGCCAAACGCTGGGGAAGCGTCCGCTTAAATAAGGAGTATCCGGGAGAGTATCCGACGAGTATCCGGGTGTTTTCGGATCCTCATGTGGATACAACATCAGTATTGAGATCTCTATCAGGTTTCAAAGCCAATTCTTTTGACAGCTTCTGCAGAACTGCTGCTTGTCTGCACCTAATGAAGGCTCACAACACGTGATCAAGATGCCAGTTAACATCACCATCCTAACACCACGACAACAATCCTTCTTCTGTACAGCGAAATCATGCAGACCACTACAAACAATGAAGAGAGCAAAGGTCCATACTGTATGTCCGAAGAGCACTGACTTACCCGGTCTTAGGCTGTTATATGCACGTCTTCAACTCAGTCCAAGACGGCACCCTCAAACCAACAAAACTCTGCCTTGTTGCTCTGAAAGGATTGATTGCATTGAAACTCACGTCCATACACGAACATAACCTGAGTCACAAAAATCTCAGATTCATTCAAGACTCAAGCGGGTGATGTTGAGCAGTGACCGAGCGGGAGGTCGGGCATGTCAGAGTTCATCAATCAATGCAGTTGTCAGCAACTGTTCTCCGATGAAAACTTCGTCCTCCGACTGCCTGCAACAGGGTCTCGAAGTCGTTCCCATACGAGTGACTGTAGCATGCAGAAACATGTCATGTTTGCTTCACCACTCGACACATCAGCTTTCAACTCTCAAAATCGGTCTCACCATGTCACCGCAGTGAAAAAGCGAGCAGGGAATACGCTGCTTGCCTGGCGTACGTTTCACAGCAAGCCAACAAGCTTCGCACAGTCGTCATGATCAATCCGTGTAATTATAACTCAAATCTATTGGTACAGCTATCCTACCCTCGCCACCTCTCTCCGCGACCGCGTTACCACTTGCAGTCTAGTGAAACTCTTGTTCGCTTCTTACTCACCATGTAGCTGTCAGTACAGACCCTCAGTGCGTTGATGCAGCGATGGCAGGGCCTTCCATCTTCGCACTTCTGCTTCTTCTGCCTGCAGGATACGCATGCTTGCTTGGTATGTCTCTGGTTCAACCGCTTGTCAGCTTTGCGAGCACCTGCGGGTCCCTGGACTGCTGTGACGAGCGCAGGCAACCTGACTTCCCCTTCTATCTTGGCCTCGGATGCCGGCGAGGACGAAGCATGATCTGGATCCTCTGTGAGGTCTGCTAGCTCAAAGAAGGATCGGAGGCTCTCGGGCCGAATGACAATATGGGAGATGGCGTCGTCGAGCGAGGATCCCGAAAGTGGGGCAGGTACCAGCGTACAGCCTTCTGCTTCGGGAGAGTAGGGGGGGGGAGAGGAGCAGGAAAGGCAGGAGAGGAACTCAGGCGGTAAGGGAGGTTGCTGCATGGCGGCTGCCGCGGTTCCCTGCAAGCTGCTGGACGGAGACCCAAATATCAGTAAAAGATTTAAAACTAGTTTTAATATGGTAAAACTGGTTTTACGGATGACCTGTGAAAAAAGAAAGTTTCCGGATTCCGCTCGAATGGCTTCGTGGTAACTCGTGTGCAGTACCAGTAGGGTGAGAGTACCACGACTTACGAAGGTTTGCCGTACTACATCGGAGCCAGAGGCTCAGACTGGTCACCGGGGTTGACACGGTCACATCACTGATGAGCCTCATGGCGGCTCATCAGTAGTACTACCGTTTTTAACTTAACTTTTGAGTAAAGGACCTACCGTACTACGGTACAGACTCGGTGACCGTCCTACTTGGCAAGTTGAGTACAGTTTGGTTCTAGCACCGTGACGGTAGGCCGGGTACAGGCTTACGGTCGGTATGGTACTCCTGCAGCCTCAGAGTGCGGTACGGTACGGTCCTGGGACCCGGTATCATACGGTTTGGTGGCAGCGACCGTACCGTACTACGGCACGGTACTTCGTGCCACCCGCCGTTTGATACCGCCGGAGTCGACGGTCAGCCTCACGCGGCGGGCACAAGGCCGGTAACCCGGGCCGGCGGGGCGCCGCTGCCTGGGCCGGCTGATACCGTAGTACGTAACGTGACGGTCCGATCACAACTCACAGAGTCAGTCCCACGGCCGCCCCCGGGCCCCCGGGCCCGGCCCAGCAGTGCCAGTGACTCGTGACTCACTGGTGACGCATATTCACTGCCGAGTTCCGACGTCGGAACGGTTCAACTTCAACACGGGGCTTCAAGGCTTGACAGTGCCACGGACTCGACGGTCCGACTCCGATCACCGTCGTCCGAAGACCGGTCGGGGACCGGGCAGCGCTGCCGCTCCGGTCGGGCCCGGCCGGAGCCGCATCACTGAGTCATACCGGGTCCCGGACTGGATCCCGGACTCGACCCGGAAGGAAGCCTTGAAGCCTGCAGTGCCTTAAAACTCGGGCCGGGCCGCCGTGACTCGGGAGCCCTAGTAGGCACATAATAACGGTCTCTGGTATCTGTGTAACCGTAGGCGTCTCTTCGCGCCATGTCCTAGTTTTGATTAGTGCAGGCAAGGAGGCGGGGAGCAGGAGCAGGAGCAGGAGCAGGAGCAGGAGCAGGAGCAGGAGCAGGAGCAGGAGCAGGAGCAGGAGCAGGAGCAGGAGCAGGAGCAGGAGCAGGAGCAGGAGCAGGAGCAGGAGCAGGAGCAGGAGCAGGAGCAGGAGCAGGAGCAGGAGCAGAATGCAACAATTCACATAATGGTTCTCATGAGAAGATTGGACAAAGGAGATGGACTCCCATAACGTGACAAGCTTCGAAACATTTAGAATCGACGCTCCCTTTTTGCAAAAAGGAGATTTCCATCACTATCTCTAATGGAGAATAAGAGATACTGATGGACATTAGAGTCAGAAATAGAATCGGCAAAGCCGCCGATCATTTGTAGAATTCAGTGCAGACACTGCTATCGCAATGATTGCATCAGTCAGAACATGCCAAATGCGAATCAAGATTCATGAGAAGCATGAAGTGTAAAGTGTAGTAAGAACTAGAGCGTTTGTCCACTCATGATGAGAAGACAAAAGGTAGCGATTGAGGCAGACATTGGAACGATCCTATGTCGGAAGCTGAGGCAAAAAACCGGACCTCCACACCAGCACCTGCTCTCCTCCTCCGTCCTCTGACTGTTTGAACAGGCAGGGGGAGAAAGGGATCCGACCAGTTCACCTGATGATTCCTTCTTACGGTTGACCCCTTTCCCTCCTTCCTCCTTCCCTCACAAGTTCTCTCAGGATCCATCGGCGCGCCCCCCCCGGCACGGCCAGCGAGCATGAAGAGGTGGGGGGGAGGCAAGGAATGTCGACGATTCATGATAATGTGCAACAGGAGAGTAAGTATCTTCTTCCTCCATGCTGGAGTCTACGCGCTTGCAACAGGTAGCGTAGGAGACTCAGTGGGTGTTCTGCTCTGATTGCCTTCGGTACAGCCTTGTGCATGGTAGTCTTCTTCGCCATTGAGTCAGAGAGAGCGGAGCTGATCCAGGCAAGGCGAGGGAGAAACGTGAAAGATGTGAGGAGAGGAGGCGTGCTTGCGAACATCGCCTGCTGACGCGCCATGTCAGGCCAAGAGGTCGAAGCTGCAAGGGATTGTAGGTGAGGAGGGTTAGTGTGCTTGCTCTTACGGGGAGTGAGTTGCCTTGTCGAAGAATCTGCAAAGAAGACATCAGAGATGATCAACTCGATGAGGTGAGGAAAATACCCCTCCTCCTCCTCCTCCTCCTCCTCCTCCTCCTCCTCCTCCTCCTCCTCCTCCTCCTCCTCCTCCTCCTCCTGACATGTTATTCTCAAAGCTTCTCAAGTCTGTGACATTTGACTTCGTCACGAAAGCGGACCGAGCGAAATGGGCTTCTCTAGACAGCATTTCTCGCTTT